AAAAGAAAAGAAGGAAAGAAAGAAGGAAAAGGTAAAAGAAAAGAAAGAGAGAAGGAAAATAGTGAAAAGAAAAGGCCAGATTCCGTCCAATGGAGAAAGAAAAAAGAAAACAGTGAAAGAAAAGAGCCCACGCTGCCAAGAGAGAAGGAAAAGGAAAAAAGAAAGAGAACAAGATTTAGAGAGAAGGAAAAGAGTAAAAAGAAAAGCGCCCAGATAGGAGAAGAGAGAAGGAAAAGAGTGAAAAGAAAAGCGCCCAGATAGGACAAGAGAGAAGGAAAAGAGTGAAAAGAAAAGCGCCCAGATAGGACAAGAGAGAAGGAAAAGAGTGAAAAGAAAAACGCCTAGATAGGAGAAGAGAGAAGGAAAAGGAAAAAGAAAAGGAACAGATAGGGAGAAGAGAAAGGAAAAGGTAAAAAGAAAAAGCACAATAAAGAAGAAAGAAAAGGTAAAATATAAAGCACAGAGATAAGGAAAGAGAGAAGGAAAAGGTAAAAAAAAAAAGGCGATAGGGACAAGAGAGAAGGAAAAGAGGAGTTGAATGCAGGTGGAAAGAAAAGAAAGAATGAAAAGAGAAGGAAAAAAAGAAAAGGCTAGACAAGAGATGAAAAGTTTTGCCTTGCCTAATAGGAAAAGAGAGAAGGAAAAGGTAAAAGAAAAAAGATAGGACAAGAGAGAAGGAAAAGAGGAAAAAAAAAGAAAGAAGATAAAAAAAGAGAGAAGGAAAAGAGAAATCGAATTCCCAGAAAGGAAAGAGAGAAGGAAAAGAGCCTCAAAGAAAAGCCTGGAAAGGAAAGAGAGAAGGAAAAAGATGAAAGAAAAAATTCCTAGAAATACAAGAAAGAAGGAAAAGGTAAAAGAAAAAAGATAGAAAGAGAGAAGGAAAAGAAAAGAAAAGAAAAGAAGAAGGAAAAAAAATAAAAGGAAAACTAGAGAAGAAAAGCAAAGAAAAGAAAAAACCCAATGAATAGGAAAGAGAGAAGGAAAAATGAAAAGAAAAGGCCTAGATAGGACAAGAGAGAAGGAAAAAGGGAAAAAGAAATATAAAGAAGAGAGAAGGAAAATATACAAGAATAAAGGCACTTTCCGAAAAGAAAGAAAAAGAAAGAACTAGAAAGAAAGGAAAAAAAAAGCCTAATAAGGAAGAAAGGAAAAGAGAAAGAAAAAGAACAAGTTTTAGAAAGATAGGGAGAAGGCAGAAAAGGAAAAAAGGTAAAAGGAAAGAGAGAAGAGAAGGAAAAAGAAAAGTGATCAAAAAAGAGAGAAGGAAAAAAGCAAAAGAAAAGAAATAGCAAGAGAGAAGGAAAAGAAAAAAGAAAAGCTGAGATAAGAAGAAGGAAAAGAGTGAAAAAAAAGGCCAAGATAGGACAAGAAAGAAGGAAAAGATGAAAAGAAAAGGATAGGATAAGAGAGAAGGAAAGAAAAAAGGAAAAGAGAAGAAGAGAGAAGGAAAAGAAAAAAGAAAGAAAAGAGAAAGGAGAAAGAAAGGAAAAGCAAAGAAAAATGAAGATAGGACAAGAGAGAAGGAAAAGAGGAAAAGAAAAAGAAAATTTCGAACAGAGAAGGAAAAGAAGGAAAAGAAAAGTCCCAGATAGGACAAGAAAGAAGGAAAAGAGGAAAAGAAAAAAGCACAGATAGGAAAGAGAGAAAAAAAGAGTGAAAACCCAAAGCGCCACATAGGAGGAGAAGGAAAGAGAAGGAAAGGGTAAAAATGAAAAGAAAGAAAAGAAAGGAAAAGAGAGAAGGGAAAGTTCAGAAAAAGCAAAAGAGGAAGAAAAGGGATAAGAGAAAGGAAAAGAGAAGGAAAAGAAAAGTGAGGCTAGATATGAGAAGAGAAGGAAAAGAGTGAAAGAAAAGTCCCGGAGATAGGAAAGAGAGAAGAAAAAGTTTTAGAAAAGGCCTAGATAGGACAAGAGAGAAGGAAAAGAAGGAAAGGAAAGGAAAGATAGGAGAAGAGAGAAGGAAAAGATCAAAAGAAAAGCGCCACCGGAAAAGAAGAAGAAAAGAAAGTAAAATGAAAACGATGGATAGGACAAGAATTTAAAGGAAAAGAAGAAAAAGAAAAGTTTAGAGAAGAGAGAAGGAAAGAGGAAAAGAAAAGAAAGATAGAAAGAAAGAAGGAAAAGAGTAAAAGAAAAAAAGAAAGAAGGAAAAAAGAAAAGATCAAAAGAAAAAGTCCACCGATTTTCAAGAGAGAAGGAAAAGAGTGAAAAGAAAAAGAAAGATAGGACAAGAGAGAAGGAAAAGAAAAGAAAAAGCGAAAGAAAGGAAAAAAAGAAGAAGAGAGAAGGAAAAGAAAAAGAAAAGGCACAATAAAGAAGAGAAAGGAAGAAAAAAAGAAAGAGAGAAGGAAAAGAAAGAAGGAAAAGAAAAAAGAAGTCCAATAAAGAGAAAGAGAGAAAAAGAGGAAAAGAAAAAGAAAGGGGCTGAGAAAGAAAAGAAAAAAAAAAATGTAAGATAAGAGAGAAGGAAAAGATGAAAAAAAATGCCTAGATAGGAGAAGAAAGAAAGAAAAGGAAAAGAAAAGAAAGAAAGAAACAGAGAGAAGGAAAAGAAAGTGAAAAGAAAAGAAATGCCCAGATAGGACAAAAGAGAAAAAAGAAAAGCCAGAAAGAAAAGAAAGAAAGAAAGCTGATAGAACAAGAGAGATGGAAAAAGAAAAGAAAAATTTCAGATGGAGAAGAGAAAGAAAAGGGTAAAAGAAAATGAATAGATAAGGAAAGAGAGAAAGAAAAGAGGGAAAGAAAAGAAAAGAAAGGACCCAGAAGAGAAAGGAAAGAGGAAAAGAAAAACGCAAAGGGACAAAGAAAGCAAAGAGAAAAAAAAGAAGAAAGAAAAGAGAAAGAAAAAAAAAGAAAACAAGTTTTAGATGAGGGAAGAATGAAAAGGAAAGAAAAGGCCAAAGAAGGAAAAGAAAAAAGGAAAAGAAAGAAAGAAAGAAATACAATGAGGACAAGAGAGAGGAAAAGAGAAAGAAAGAAAAAGATAGGAAGAGAGAAGGAAAGAGTTGAAAAATGCAAAAGGCAGAAGAGAAAGAAAAGAGGGAAAAGAAAAAATGCCGAAAGGAGAGAAAGAGAGACGAAAGAGAAAAAAAAAAAGAAATAGGACAAATAAAGGAAAAGAAAAAGAAATAAAGAAGATGAGAAGAAGGAAAAGAAAAAGAGAAAGAAAGAAAAGAAAAGAGAGAAGAAAAAGAAAGAAAAGAAAAGAAGAGAGAATGATGAGAGAAGGAAAAGAGAAAAGAAAACAGAAAAGAAAAGAAAGAAGTTTAGAGAAGGAAAAGAAAATCCCTAATGGAATAAAGAGAGAAGGAAAAGAGGGAAAAAAAAAGAAAAAAGAAGGGAAGAAAGAAAAGGAAAGAAGAAAAAAAGTGCCTAGAAGAATGAGAACATGGAGAAGGAAAAAGGAAAAGAAAAGAAAGAAAGGAAGAAAGAAAAGAAAGAAAAGAGAAAAAGAAAAAAGGGAGAAGAGAAAGAAAGAAAAGAAAAAAAAGAAAGGAAAGGAAAAGAAAGAAAGAGGGAAGAAGAAGAGAAGGAAAAGGGAAAGATAAATGAAAAAGAAGAAACCGGGAAAAGAAAGAAAGAAATCGAAAGAAAGAAAGAAAAAGGAAAGAAGGAAAAAGAAAAGAAAAGAAAGAAAGAAGAATTGAGAAAAGGAAAGTTTAGAAAACGATGGAGAAGAGAAAGGAAAAGAAAGAAAAAAGAAGGAAAAGAAAAATAAGAAAGAAGAGAGAAGGAAAAGAAAGAAAGAATCTCCCCATTTCCGATCCAAAAAAGAAAGAAGGAAAAAAAAAGAAAAGAAAGAAAGCAAAGAAAGAAAGAAAGAAAGAAAGAAAAAAAAGAAAAATAATTTTTGAGAGAAAAGAAAAGAAAAAAGAAAAGGATGAAAGATGAAAGAAAGAAAAGAAAAGAAAGAGAAGGATAGGGAAAGAGAGAGGAAAAGAAAAGAAAAATGAAAAAAGATCAAGGAAATGAAAAGAAAGAAGGAAAGAAAGAAAGGAAAAAGAAAGAAAGAAAGAGAGAAGAAAAAGAAAAGAAAGAATGAAAAAGATGGAGAAATGGAAAGAAAAATGAAGAAGTTTTAGATGAAAAAAGAAAATCCCTAATGGAAAAGAAAGAAAGAAAACGAAGGAAAATAAAAAAGAAATAAAGAAGAGAGAAAGAAAAAAAGAAAAGAAAAAGAAGAATGAGAATTTTGGAGAAGAGAATCGCAATAAGAAGAAAAAAAAGAATGAAAGAAAGAAAGAAAAGAAAAGAAAGAAAAGAAAAGGAAAACAAAGAGAGACAAGAAAAAGATGAGAAGGGCAATAAAAAGAAAGAAAAGAAATAAGAAAGGAAGAAAGAAAAGAAAAGGAAAGAAAGAAGAGAGAATGAAAGTAAAAAGAAAAACGAAGAAAAAGAAAGAAAGAAAGGAGTGAAAGAAAAGAAGAAAGATAGGAAAAGAGAAAAGAATTGGAATGAAAAAGAAAATACAAAAGTTAAGAGAAAGAAAGAAAGAAAGAAAGAAAAGGCCTAATAAAGAAAAGAGAGAAAGAAAAGAAGAGAGAAAATAAAAGGCAGAATGAGAAGGAAAAGAAAAAGAAAAAAGAAAGAAAGAAAGAAAAGAAGAAAGAAATGAGAGAAGAAAAAGAAGAAAACGATGAGTTGAAAGAAAGAGGCCTTCCGCTCAAAGAAGAAAGAATGAAAATAAAAGAAAGAAGAGAGGAAATGAAAATAAAAAAACGATGGAGATGGGACAAGAAAGAAGGAAAAGAAAAAAGAAAAGCAAAGAGAGAAGGAAAAAATAAAGAAATAAAGAAAGTAAGAAGCATTTTTTCTTTGAAAAGAGTGGAAAAGAAAAGAAAATGCAGAAAGAAAGAAAGAAAGAAAGAAAAAAAGAAAAAATAGAAAGAAGAGAGAGAAAAGAGGAAGAATGGCAAAATGGAGAAGGAAAAGGAAAGAAAAGAAAGAAAGAAAGAGAAGGAAAATAAAAAGAAAGAAAGAAATAAGATTCCGAAAGAGAATTCAAAGAAAAAAGAAAAGAAAGAAAGAGAAGAATGAATGAAAAAAGAAAAAGAAAAATGAATTTAAGGGAAAAAAGAGAAGGAAAGAAAAGAAAGAAAGATGAGGGTTTTGGAAGAAGAGAAAAGGAAAAAAAGAAAAGAAAACGATGGAGAAGAGAGAAGAAAGAAGGAAAGAAATCAAAAGAAAATGAATTTTAGGAAAGAAGAAGAGAAGGAAAGAAAAAGAATGAAAAGAAAGAAAGAAAGAAAGAAAAGAAAGAAGAATTGAAAAATGAAAAGAAAAAAAAACGATGAGAAGGAAAGAAAGAAAAAAGAAAGAAAGAAAGAAAGAAAGGAAATAAAAGAATAGAGAGAAGGAAAACGATGGAAAGGAAAGAAAACAAGAAAGAAAGAAAAGAAAGAAAGAAAGAAAGAGGAAAAGAAAATTGCAATGAAAGTAAGAATGAAAAATGAGGAGAATGAAAAGGAATGAAAATAATTTCGAAAAGAGAAGATGGAGGGAGAAGAGAAAAGAAAAGAAAGAAAGAAGGAAAGGATAAAAGAAAAAGGAACAGAGAAAAGAGAATATAAACGATGGAGGAAGAAAAGAAAAAAGAAAGAAAAAAGAAAGAAAGGGAATCGTAAAAAAGAAGAAAAATGAAAAGTAAGAATGAGAGAATGAATTTAAGGAAAAAAGAAAGAAAAGAAAGAAAGGACAAGAGAGAAAGAAAGAAAAAAAAGAAGAATTGAGAAGGAAAAGAAGAATAAAAGAGAGAAAGAAAGAAGGAAAGAAAGTGAAGAGAGAGGAAAAGACCGGAAAGAAAACGAAATCGAGAGAAGGAGAGTTGAAAAAGAGTGAAAAGAAAAGCCGCTCAATGAATTGAAGAGAAAACAAAGAAAAAGTTTTAGATGAAGATGAAAGAAAGAATGGCACAATAAAGAAGGAAAGAAAGAAAATAAAAAGAGAGAGAAAGGAAAATAAACAGTGAAAGAAGAAAAAAAGGGGAGATAGAGAGGAAAAACGATGGAGAGCTGTGAAGGAAAAGAAAAGAAATAAAGAAAGACAAGAAGAATTGAAAAGAAAAAAAAAAAAAGAAGAAGATTAGATGAAGAGAAGGAAAAGAATGAAAAAAGAAGGAGAAAGAAAATATAAGAGAGAAAGAAAGAAAGAAAAGAAAAAGAAATAGAGATCCGTCCAAGAGAAAAGAAATAGGAAAAAAAAATGAAAGAAGAATGAAAAGGAGAGAAGGAAAAATGAAAGAAAAGAAAAAAAAAAGAAAAAGTTTAAATGAGGGAAGAAAAGAAAGAAGAAAAGCAAATGAAAGAAAGGAAAGAAAAAGAAGGAAAATAGAGAGAAGGAAAATATAAGAGATTGATGAGACAAAATAAAAGAGAACCGAAGAGAAAGGAAAAAGCAAAGATAGGGAAATGGAAAGAAGAAAGAAATGCCTCAAGAAAAGAAGGAAAAGAAAAAGAAAGAACAAGTTTTAGATGAAAAAAAAGAAATAGAAAAGATAGAGAAGAGAAGGAAAAGAAAAAGAAGGGAAAAAGAAAGATAAAGACAAGAGAGAAGGAAAAGAGTAAAAAGTGAAAGTCCCAATAGTCCACCGAGAAGGAAAGAAAATCGCAAGAAAGAGAAAGAAAGAAAGAAAGAAAGAAAGAAAGAATGAATTGGAAATGGAAAGAAAAGAATGAAAAGTTTTAGATGAGGGAAAGAAAGAAAATGGCACAATAAAGAAAGAAAAGGAAATATAGCAAAAGAAAAGGAAAAATATACAGAGAAGAGAGAATGAAAGAGTCCACCGAAAACGATGGAAATAGGAAAGAGAGAAGGAAAAGAAAGAAAAAAGAAATGAATTGTAATGAAAAAATAATTTTCGAAAAGTTTTAGATGAGGGAGAAAAACGATTTCCCAATGGCAAAATAAAGAAAAAGGTAAATAGGGACCAGAGAGAAGGAAAAGAGAAAAAGAAAGAAAAAGATCCGAAGAGAGAAGGAAAAGAAAAAGAAAAAAGAAATGCAGAAGGAAAAGAGGGAAAGAAGATGGAAATGGAGAGAGAAGGAAAGAGATGAAAGAAAATGCCCCATGGAGAAGAGAGAAGGAAAGAGTGAAAAGAAAAGCAGAGAGAGAAGAGAGAAGGAAAAGAGAGAAAAGAAAAATGCATTAGATAGGAAAAGAGAGAAGAAAAAGGAAAAGAAAGAAAAAAAAAAGAAAAGAATGAATTGAAGAGGAAAAGAAAAATGCCCAACAGGGACAAGAGAGAAGGAAAAGAGAAAAAAGAAAAAGCAAATAAAGAAGAGAGAAGGAAAAGAAGAAAAGAAAAGGAAAAGATAGGACAGAGAGAAGAAAAGAGTCCAAAGAAAAGCCCAGATAACAAGAGAGAAGAGAAAAGAGTAAAAAAAAGTGCCTGAAAGGGAGAATTGAAATGGAAAATAGAAGATAACAAGAGAGAGATGAAAACAAAACTTCCCCATAGGACAAGAGAGAAGGAAAGGTGAAAAGAAAAAGGCCCAGAGAAGGAAAAAGAGAGAAGTCCAAAGCATTTTCTTGAAATCGAAAAGCGAGATGAATGACAAGAGAGAAGGAAAATGAAAAGAAATGAAAAATAGGACAAGAGAGAAGTTTTAGATGAAAGAAAAGTATTCAGATGGGGACAAAGAAGGAAAAAAAAAAGACCGGAGAAGAGAGAAGGAAAGATCGTAATTCGCTGAGTTAAAATGCAGTGCCTTACGGACTCAATGAGAGAATGAAAATACCTCGAACAAAAGTTAGATGAGGGTTTTGAGAAGAGAGAATGGCAAAATAAAGAAGTGAAAGGTAAATATAAAAGCACCGAGAGAAGGAAATATACAGGATGACCCACTTTTGCGTCCAATTGCATTTTTATTGGAAATCGAAGGAAAAGAGTTGAATGCAGTGCTTCCTACGATAGGACAATGAATTTAATGAAAAAATAAAAGAACAAATTTTTAGATGGGTTTTGGCTTTCCTAAAAGAACATTAAAGAAGGGAAAGGTAAATATAAAGCACCGAGAGAAGGAAAATACAGTGATCAGAAAATTTTCGTCCAACGCATTTTTATTGAAATCGCAATTCGCAGAGTTGAATGCAGTGCCTCCTATGCTGCCTCAACGAAATGTAATGAAAAATAATTTCGAACAAGTTTTAGATGAGGGTTTTGAAAAGTGCCCTAATGGCACAATAAAGAAGTGAAAAAAAGAAAGCACCGAGAGAGGACAAAAGAGAAGGAAAACCTAAAAAGTCCACCGCATTTTATTGGAAAGAGAGAAGGAAAAGAGTTGAATGCAGTGCTTCCTAGATGCTCCAGAGAGAATGAAAAAAAATTTTCGAACAAGTTTTAGATGAGGGTTTTGACTTTCTCTAATGGCAAAGTGAAAAGAAAAGGTAAATATAAAGGACAAGAGAGAAATGAAAATACTGTGAAACCCAAAATGCGTCTAGATTTTTTGAAAGAAGAAAAGAGTTGAATGCAAAGCTTCCTAGATAGGACAATGAATTCTAATGAAAAAGAAAAGAAAAGTTTTAGATGAGGAGAAGAGAAAATGGCACAATAATGAAAAGAAAGGTAAATATAAAGCACCGAGAGAAGGGAAATATACAGTGATCACCCACTTTGCGTCCAGAGATTTTTTTTATTGGAAATCGCATTTCGCTGATTTGAAAATGCCTAGATAGGACAACCTAAAATTAATTGTATTGGAAAAAATACTGAACAAGTTTTAGATGAGGAAAGAGTCTTTCCCTTAATGGCACAATAAAGAAGGGAAAGGTAAATATAAAGCACAATGCGAGAAGGAAATAGACAAGATCAATTCACTTTGCGTCCAAACGCATTTTTATTGGAAATCGCAAAGGCTGAGTTGAATGCAAAACGTTTACGCTGCCTCAATGAATTTATTGAAAAATGAAAAGAACAAGTTTTAGATGAGGGATAGGACAAGAGAGAATGGCACATTAAAGAAGGAAAAAGGTAAATATAGCACAGAGAGAAGGAAAGATACATTCACCCACTTTAGTCCACCGAGATTTTTATTGAAATCGCACTGGATTTGAATGCAGTAAGCTTTACGCTGCCTCAATGAATTCTATTGAAAAATAATTTCGAACAAAAGTTAGATGAGGGATTTGCCTTCCCTTGGTGGCACATTAAAGAAGGGAAAGGTAAATATAAAAGCACAGAGAGAAGGGAAATATACAGTGATCACCCACTTTGCGTCCACTGCATTTTTATTGGAAATCGCAATTGCTGATTTGAATGCAGTGGTTCCTACGCTGCCTCTCAATGAATTTATTGAAAAATAATTTCCAACAAGTTTTAGATGAGGGTTTTGCCTTTCCCTAAAGGCAATACTAAAGAAGGGAAAGGTAAATATAAAGCACAGAGAGAAGGGAACATACAGTGATCACCCACTTTAGTGTCCAATTGCATTTTTTATTGAACGTAATTGCTGAGTTGAATGCAGCATTCCTACGCTGCCCTCAATTAATTCTATTGAAAAATACTGAACAAGTTTTAGATGAGGCTTGTCTTTCCCTTTAATGGCACAATAAAGAAGGGAAAGGTAAATATAAAGCACAGCGAGAAGGGAATATACAGATCACCCACTTTTTGGTCCAGCGCATTTTTTATTGAAAGAAAAGAGTTGAAAGCGTAGTGCTTCCTTTACGCTGCCTCAATGAATTCTATTGAAAAAAAATTGAACAAGTTTGATGAGGGTTTTGCCTTTCCCTAATGGCACATTAAAGAAGGGAAAGGTAAAGAAAGCACAGAGAGAAGGAAATATACAAAGTGATCACCCACTTTGCGTCCACAGCATTTTTTTTTGAAATCGCAATTGATTTGAATGAGAGAGCCCTTAAGCTGACTCAATGAATTCTATTGAAAATAATTTCGAAAGAGAAGGAGATGAGGGAAAGAAAGCCCTAATGGCACATAAAGAAGGGAAAGGTAAGAAAAGGCAGAGAGAGAAGGGAATATAAAGATCAAAGAAATTGCGTCCAGCATTTTTATTGAGAAATCGCAAAGAGGATTTGAATGCAGTGCTTCCACGCTAGACAATGAATTCTATTGAAAAAAAATTTCGAACAAGTTTTAGAGAGGGGTTTTGCAAAGAAAATGGCACATTAAAGAAGGAAAGGTAAATATAAAAAAGTACAGAGAAGGGAAATATGAAAGTGATCACCCAGATTGGACCGCAATTCGATTTTTAAAGGAAATCGAAAAGGCTGAGATGAATGCAGAGAGAAGGGAAGGGCCCTCAAAGAAAATGAAAAGATAGGAACAAGAGAGAGATGAGGGCTTTGAAAACCCTTAGATAGGGACAAGAGAGAAGGGAAGAGTAAAAATAAAGCACCCAGAGAAGGAAAATAGAGAAGATCACCTTAGTTTTGTGTCCACACATTTTTAGAAATCGAAGAGAGAAGGAAAAGAGTGAAAAGAAAAGCCTCAATGAATTCTAAGAGAAAAAAAAGAGAAAAGTTTTAATGAGGGTTTTATTTTCCCTAATGGCACATTAAAGAAGGGAAAAGTAAATATAAAGACAGAGAGAAGGGAAATATACAGTGATCACCCACTTTATGTCCACCGCATTTATTGGAAATCAATTCATTGATTTGAATGCAGTGTTCCTACGCTCAAATGAATTCTATTGAAAATAATTTCGAACATGATTTAGATGAGGGCTTTGCCTTTCCCTAATGGCACAATAAAGAAGTGAAAGGTAAAAAAGCACCGAGAGAAGGGAAATATACAGTGAGCACCCACTTTGCGTCCACCGCATTTTTATTGAAATCGTAATTCCGCTGAGTTGAATGCAGTGCTTCCTACGCTGCCTCAATGAATTTAATGAAAATAATTTCGAACAAGTTTTAGATGAGGTTTTGGCCTTTCCCTAATGGCACAATAATGAAGGGAAAGGTAAATATAAAGCACCGAGAGAAGGGTATCAACAGACTTCACCCACTTGCGTCCACCAATTTTTATTGGAAATCGCACTGCTGATTTGAATGCAGTAAGCTTCCTACGCTGCCCTCAATGAATTCTATTGAAAATTGCTTTGAACAAGTTTTAGATGAGGGCTTTGCCTTTCCCTAATGGCACAATAATGAAGGAAAGGTAAATATAAAGCTCAGAGAAGGAAATAAGGCAGATCACCCACTTTGCGTCCACCGCATTTTTATGAAATCGCAATTCGCTGAGTTGAATGCAGTAAGCCTTCCGCTGCCTCAATGAATTCTAATGAAAAATAATTTCGAACAAGTTTTAGATGAGGGTTTTTGCTTTCCCTAATGGCACATTAAAGAAGGAAAGGTAAATATAAAGCACTGAGAGAAGGGAAATATACAGTGATTACCCAATTTCCGTCCACCGCATTTTTATTGGAAATCACAATTCGCTGACTTGAATGCAGTAAGCCTTACGCTGCCTCAATGAATTCTAATGAAAAATAATTTCGAACATGATTTAGATGAGAACGGTTTTGGCCTTTCCCAATGGCACAATAAAAGAAGTGAAAAGGTAAAATATAAAGCAATTGAGAGAAGGAATATACAGTGCACCATTCTCCGTCCACCGCATTTTTATTGGAAATCGCTATTCGCTGAGTTGAATGCAGCCTTTGCATGCTGCCTCAATGAATTTGTAATGAAAAATAATTTGAAACAAGTTTGATGAGGGCTTTGCCCTTCCCTAATGGCACAATAATGAAGGGAAAGGTAAATATAAAAGTACTGAGAGAAGGGTAATCAACAGTGATCACCCAATTTTGTTCACTTACTTTTTTGAAATCGCAATTGATTTGAATGCAGTGCTTCCTACGCTGCCTCAATGAATTCTATTGAAAATTATTTCCGAACAAGTTTTAGATGAGGGTTTTGCCTTTCCCTAATGGCACAATAATGAAGGGAAAGGTAAATATAAAGCCCAGAGAGAAGGGAAACATACTCAGATCACCTACTTTATGTCCACCGCATTTTTATTGGAAATCGCACTGCTTGAGTTGAATGCAGTGCCTTCTGCTGCCTCAATGAATTCCAAATGAAAAACAATTTCGAACAAGATTTAGATGAGGGATTGCCTTCCTTAATGGCACATTAAAGAAGGGAAAAGGTCAATATAGCACAGAGAAAGGGAAATATACCGATCACCCACTTTAGTCCACCGTATTTTTTTGAAATCGCACCGCTGAGTTGAATGCAGTGCTTCCTACGCTGCCTCAATGAATTCCAACGAAAACAATTCGAACAAGTTTTAGATGAGGTTTTGGCCTTCCTAATGGCACATTAAAGAAGGGAAAGGTAAATAAAAAGCACCGAGAGAAGGGAAATATACAGTGATCACCCACTTTCCGTCCACCGCATTTTTCTGGAAATCGCACTGCTGGAGTTGAATGCAGTGCCCTACGCTGCCTCAATGAATTCTAATGAAAAATAATTTCGAACAAGTTTTAGATGAGGTTTTGGCCTTTCCCTAATGGCAACAATAATGAAGGGAAAGGCAAATATAAAGCACCGAGAGAGGGGA